TCAGTTTGCCAACATCCTGCATTTATGAGAAGAGTTTGCTGTTTACTCATGTAGCCTCCAGTGGTATACTGAGTTGATCACCACCCTCACTCTTTTGGCCTCCAACATAACATGAAAACGGAACATCTTCCCCACCCAGAGGAATTGGTGAGTGTGCAGTGTTGGGGGAGGGTGTTTGGTGGCAGGGGCAAGAAGAGGTTGAGGAGGCTTTGAGGAGGAAGGAAGAGGGACAAGGCCATGCCTCCTGACACTGAGACTGGTGGACTTCAGGGCTCATGTTCAGCCAAGGGCATAAGGAGGCACTCAAGGTGTGAATGGTTTCATTAAGCCTAGGTGGAATCGGAAGGCAGAAAATAAAGTAGACATGTCTGGGCTCAGGGAATGAGGGGAGGGGAAAGGCTGGGTACAGACAACCAGGACCCCAGGGGAACAGGCTGCAGGAGGTGGGGATGGAGAATGACCTGAAACCTGCCAGAGGAGCAGAAAACAGGGAAGGGGTGAGGTACCCAGTGCAGGACAACATGTAAGAGTGAGTCAGTGGGAGACTTGGGGAACAGTTGAAAGTCACATGGGGAAGTTTGCAGTAGCTGAACCCAGCAGGTAGTGACCAGCAGAGCCGATGTGGTGCGTGATTCGCTCTGGGTGAGACCAGGAGGACCATCACTGAGCCACCACGTGTGCCACTCCACAACAGGTCTTCTTCCTACTCCTTGTCCTTCTTCCACCAGATCTCTGCTGATACGAAAAACCTGAGAAGGTTCTGTGGGCAACTGGGTTCTCCACTGGGCAACCCCCTAGGAAAAAAGGAATTTTTGTCTCAAGGGAACAAGATGCTGCTGACCTTCCACACAGACTTCTCCAACGAGGAGAATGGGACCATCATGTTCTACAAGGGCTTCCTGGCCTACTACCAAGCTGTGGGTGAGTAGCCCCCCAGGGATCCCTTTTCTCTAACCTCAGCCACATTGAATGGAGGCCAAGAAAGGGAATCTTGAATCCAAAGAAGCTGAAAGCCTGGCTTTCCTTATTCCTCCCCTCAAGAGAGCTTTTCCTAACGAGGCCTGTCAACTTGGGATCTGTCCCCATGGAGCAGTCCCTAGAGAGCATTGGAGAGGCCTGGCCTGGAGGTCCAGGTGGCCTAAAGTGCCTTTGTCTTTAGGCCTCTGGTGAGTGACCTCCCTAAGATCAGAGCCACTACTCTGGTCTCCCAGCAGGAGCTTAACCCTCCTTCCTGAATGCCTTCCAGACCTTGATGAATGTGCTTCCCAGAGCAAATCAGGGGAGAGGGACCCCTAGCCCCAGTGCCAGCACCTGTGTAACAACTATGTTGGAGGCTACTTCTTTTTTTTTTTTTTTTTTGAGATGGAGTCTCGCTCTGTCGCCCAGGCTGGAGGGCAGTGGCCGGATCTCAGCTCACTGCAAGCTCCGTCTCCCGGGT